TATTTGATACAGTTATGATATAGTAGCAATTCAAGATTTATTAATGTATGAGTTAGATCAGAAGGTTGAATTTTAGCATCACTTGACGATTGACCAATTTAAAGATTAACAAAGTGATTTGGTAGAATATGTTATAATTAAAATAGCACCTTAATTACAGATTTGAGAATAACAAGTTTCACAGTAACTTACTACAAGGTACCCTAAATCAAAGTGTGTCTATAAATACATATATATATGTATGTATGTATAAACACAAAGCATACACACACAGAGAGACAGCAATATCTGGATATTCAGTGAAATAGCATGCTGTGATCCAGGAGAGCTCAAAGGGTCTTGCGCAGGGTCACTGTTATAGGGTCTTTCATCAGGTACTTTTCCATTTCAGCCCAACTTGGATCACAAAATGTTCTGGTACTTCCCACCAGTCGCGCAGTCCCAGAACATGCTAGATCTTGAAGGTCTGGTGTCACCCTATTTGGGCCATGACCCAGGTACAGATGTACCGGGCTGTCTGGAGGTGACTGATGGTCATTACTGTTCCCAGGTGGGAGGGGAGGAAGGAGCCAGATACCTTAAAGAAGGGGAGGCAGATACCTTAAAGAAGGGGAGGCAGATACCTCAAAGGGGGGGCATATACTTTAAAGGGGAGGAAGATGCCTTAAAGGGGTGCCTTAACACTCTGGTCTGCTGCCTTTCCCAGTCCATCTTGGGTTGGTATGTGACCCAGGGAGGCGGAAATTGCACCAAGCACGGAGCAGCCCAGGAGAGGGTGGGGGAAGTGGTACCACCACAGACGCATATATGTAGACACCTAAATTTAGATGTCTTGTAAGATGATTCCCACCTGAAATCATTTGCCCAAGGTCACAGAGATAGTAGCCTTAGAGCCGCAAGCAGAACCCTGGTCTTGTATTGACATGGGCGGAATATGGCTGATACGGCTGTACACCAGCTGCAGGTCACCTTCACCACAGTCCTGTGAGATAGGCAAGTTTTCCTTCTGTTTTACAGATTTGGAGACTGAGGCGTAGAGAGGCTGAATGACTTTCATGAGCCTAGAGAGTATGCTTCATTTATTGTATGCAGAATAATTAAACTGAAATGTCTATGCTGGTAAAATTAAAATTCTGTTTTTTAAGACCATGATTTACACAAAAGCTGCTGTAATCTTCCAGTCTTATGCATAGAGACAGGCTGCTCAGTGCCTCTGCCAAAACCTTTCTTCCTGTAATCTGTGATAAACCTTCCAAGGTCTGTGCAATTGGTTGCATGGTGTGTTGGGGCACTCAAGAAACAGAATCCCTGTGCCAGAAGGAGCTTCTTCCTTCAACTGTGCTTCACCGTGCATCTTAAGGGCTTCCGTTTTCTCTAAATAGATGCGTTTGGATTTTTTCATCCACAAGAACTTTGTGGACTAGACCCAAACATACTGAAAAGTTTGTTTAGGTTTTCAGACTGTTTTAATGATTGATTGTCACCTGAAATCACTGCATTTCTTCAGAAATGTATATGAGCTGGTAATTGCATATTAGCAAAACAAAGTCATTCAATTATTATTCTGTAGGAAATTCTGTTGCTGTAAAAACATCTATTAGTGTGTTACCCGTTGTTGAGAGAGTACTCATAAAAACAGCTGTTATTTATTTCTGTTGTTAGCAATTGAAAACTGATGTGATTGTTAAAGAACATGAAGTAGGGGAGATTACACGAACCTCCCTCCACAAATATGCTCATGAAGACGCCATTTTAGAAGTTTAGAGCTTTCTTTGGAGGACAGTCTTTCCAAGAAGCAAGGTAGTGCTGCATCTGCTCGTAGTGTTAACAATCTGATCCAGTCTTTGAACTTCTCATGACTTAGGTACACTCACCCTAGGAATTATGTTATTCCATTAGTGGATGTAGACCTTGTTTATCAAGAGTGCAGATGTAGATATGAGTTGAATGAGAGGTTTGGGTTTCTTCACCTTCCTTCCTGTGCTGTGGCATCTGCAGCTCTGGCACATCTTACTGAAGCTTTTCTCCAGCTCCAGGACCCTCCATGCCAGATGAAGCTGGTCAGGAAAGTGCCACCTGAGATGTATGCTGCAAACTAGTGGTGTACATCTTCCTTTGGACTTCATCCCTGGTCAGGTGGCGTAAGTTTTGTACATAAGTTGCAAGTGAATTTAAATATCTGCATATAAAACATTGCTTATGAATATCTGCATGCATAAAACACACGACTTTTGGTTCAGGTAAATTGCATATGAAGTGAATTTGATGCCATTCAAGTTTTCCAAGGGCCACGTATGTGCAAGTTTTAGGTGGTGTCTGGCCACCTCAGATCTTTGAATATGTGTGTGTAGTTAAGGTTGTGGTGCCTTAACTGGTTAGATATTCTTCGATCCAGCTTGAAATTCCTGCTGTTATTATTTGGTGTTTCATAGATTTCAGCAGTTTGGTCATATCACTTGAAAGTGTATTCCACTGCAGAAGGGATCTTGTCTTTCACTGCTGTCATTAACACCCCATGCATCCCTGCAGTTTAGAAGCTGGTAGAGAAAGTCAGTTTGCTTCATTGGTAAACTTAGTCTTTTTTTTTTTCAAGCAGATTTATTGTTACTTATTGGTGTTGTATGAGTGGGGCCTATACCTTTGTAACACCATGGAAATGAACGTAAATGGGATGTCAGAACTGAGACTTTTCTGCCCAATAAGACTTGCCCTGGTTTCAATGGATAACTGAAATAATAACATACTAATAGTTTAGAGATCAGAAAAGTAAAAAATAGGTCTTAAATTTGATGTAACAGCTTGACTAATAGCAAGAAGCAGTTCTCATTTTTCAAGCAGTTGTATCTATACTAAAACAAACTTTTTAGGTGGATCAGTAATTTTGATCTAAGAGAGTGAGTTAAATTGCTCACAGCTGCAAAGAGCATTGCTACAAGAGATGAGGGTAGAACCCGTTAGGTTTTGGACATCAGATGTGCATCACAGTACATCTTTGTAAGAAGTGTAGGTAGGAAAATCAAAGTGCACAGGCCTGTCAGATCTGATAGGCCTCTGCTGTGGTGTTGAGAGCATCACCAAGATGTAGCCTGCACACCCAGATGAAACTGGCCCACTGCTCCTTGTATTTCTCAAGTATTGAGAGAGGTGTGTTTTGCTAATTTGTGCTTTTAGTACAGTTTTCTTTGTAAGGAACAGCAATCAGAGGAACAAATCACAAAAAATTCACTGGCTAGAAGCTCTCGGAATTGTTTACCGTTGTTATTTGTTATTGATAAAGATTTTGTGGCAAATACCTGTGCTATATGCAGGAGATATACAGGTTTTAAAGTAGTTAGAATATGTAATCTTTTAAATCTCTGACTGGCTTGTCTGAGCTGTCACATAGAGTACATAACTGAGTTGCTTATTAGTATGGATGTAATCCACGTTCCCAAAATACCCCTTTTTCTTAACAAGTCACTGAATGAAAAACGCAATTAACTTTGGCATACTATTTCAGTGAAGGTGCAGTGGGGTTTTTTTTTGCTGAAACTGAAAGCCCCAACAACTTTAGTGTGTGGTCCCCACAGAGCTGCCCTCACAGTTGTACTGACATCCATCAAAGGACACCTATTCCCATTCTTGGAGTGTAAAAGTACCGTGTTACTGATGTCATCTCTCCATCTGCCAGCCGTGCTAGTGAACATCTGCAACAGTACCACCGGGAATAGTTCAGCAACAGGGCAGGTTTTAAAAAAGGAAATACGGTTCATGGTATTTTTTTTTTTTAAATTTCAGTTTACATGAACAATAAAATATTTTGCCCTAAATGAAACATGTTTGTGAAAATTCACTTCAGCTGAATTTTTTTCACCGGGGTAAAAGAAGTCTGATGGAAAAGTTTGTGTCAGTAATTCTGAGTCTCATACGTCAATATAAACAGCTCAACAAATGTTACACAAAGTTACCTGATAGGAGTAATAAAATACAGTCCCATCTACACATAATAGACAGATAGAAAGGGTTGGTCTGATTTATTACCTCCATTGATTCACACAGAGTAACCACTGAACCATTTTAAGGACTTGGGCATCAAAACTTCAGAAATTAAATCTGATGGTTAATGAGCAATTAAAAACTTCGAGAAAGGGCCTTTATAGGAAGCTCTGCAAAAAATTATATGTAAAGTTCACTATCATTGTCTCCCTGAGCCTGAATCAACAACTTGGATCAACAAAAAACCCCTAATATGATACCAAAGGTCAGTCAAACCTTCTCCTAAACTGGGTTGCCCTTTTAATGCCCCCACCCCCAAGATGCAAAGCCTACACTCTAAATCACCCTTTCCAAAAGTATCTGTTTGATTTCTTTTATAGTTTCCACAAGTCACAGAAACACAGTAGTTGTCCAGCAGCATCAGCAAGTGATGTGTTTCAACAAAAAACTACCACCACATGATATGTCTAATTGTCCTGCTTTGACAAGCTAATCTTTGGTGGTTTGCCCTTCAGAAGTACTTGTGATGTATCTGGTGGCAGACAAAATGCAGTGGTACAAGGTATGATACTACCTTCTTTTTTTCAGTGTGCTGCTAATAAACTGTTCCCACTGGGAAAATAAGAGGGCATATCTACACCCCGGTGCAGGTACACCTCAGGTGACCAAGCAGAACCCCATCACTCGTCTTTGCGTTGTCTCCTGGTGGGATGGGGCCAGGGTGCTGGTTCTGCATTGGTACCTCCACATGGGACTGATTCACATGCACTGCAATTACTGATTTAAGCCACTGCCAGCTAAGGCTGTCTGCGTTTTTTCCTTAATGCAGTTGCTGGAGATCACGGAGGGGGAAACTTGGCATTGCTATCAAACCCCTCAAAATTTCTTCATGTATCTTTAAAACAGTAAATGTGACTCCCCCAGGGATAGAGACTGGGTATGAGGGGGTGAGTCCAGCTGAGTTTGCTCTGCCTCCCCTGGGTGAGTGAGTGGATGGGTGGGTGGGTGTTCACACCTTTCTCCACTCTCTCATTTTGTGGTTTAGACGTATTTTGAACACACAAAAGGGGTTGACAGCCCCTTGTGACGGGCTGAAGGAATGCTCCAAACAGACTGTTTTCCAGGGTCTTGTCCAAGCATGATTCCTCATCTTTTACTGTTTGAAAAGCTGTCATGACATGTCCTGAAGAAACCTGCAGAAGAAATGCTGGCCTGGTTCCCACTTGGCCAGGCTCCCAAGCGCCACACTAAAGGTCAGTGGTTCACTCCTGTGGAGTCCCAGTCCTCTTCTGCATTAATTTTCCTCCTCTTTCCAGTGTCCTAACCTGATAAATCATTTGGGGAGAGGCAAGAGAGGGAGGGGGAGGAGTGTATGATGTAACCTCTGATCCAGGGACTTTACGAGACAGCACCACAGTGCCTGCAGCTCCCAGGGGTTTTATGGTTGGTACCACTGGGAGACTGAATCATGCTGAAGAGACGTGAAGATCCACCACATCTGTGTGAGACCCAGCAGCTGATGTACTCGCCACATTTGCGGAGAAGGAAGCCAAGTATGGCGTCTGCTTAACGGCACACGCTCTTGCAGCTCCTTGTTTTGCTGCCTGCCGTGTGCACCTGGAGTGAGAGGAGCAGCGGCCGTGTGCCGAGGACACCCCTGAAGAAAGGGAGGCGTGAAGCCAGCCACACTGCTGGGGTAAGTCTGATCCTGCTCCCTGGGTTTTCCCATTCGTTACAGGCTGACGGTCCAGGGGAAGCAAAGGAAGTGGAGTGGAGCGAGCTGAAATGCGTATGGATTGTTGGAGGGCATGTAACCATATGAAATCCCTGCTGGGTTGACTCCGAGCCAACTGATAATCACTGACTAATCTCTCTGCTGGCAGATTCTGCCCAGATTACAAGGGTGTGTGTCTCTGTGTCAGGATGCATATGAGGCGTGCTCGTGCTGAGGGTCTCAGGATCTGTGTCAGAGAAACACACCAAAAAGGGATTTCACTGCAATCACTGCCTGCAGGAAAGAAATTTGTGCAAGTGTGCTTCTGTCACTGACACAGTGCTGTGTGTGCAGCTGCATGTCAGGCTGTGAGCTCTGCAGACAGGGAGGTGTAGGGAAGGCAAGTTTTTTTGGTTGGTATGCTTCACCAGAGTAAATCTGTATACAATTGCGATACAGCAAAACCTTGTTAATTTTAACAGGTTTTATCCAGATGTGCAAAGTCAAAAGCGCAGTTGGTGAACAGTGCCAGGCACACTCTATGCATTTGTAGTTCCAGCAGGACTATGTGGTCTGGGTACTAAGAAACCGTTTATATTCATGTGGCTCCTTAAAACACATTTATACCAGTATAAGAGGCCTTACGTGAGGCTGTAGTTCTCTCTGCCATGTAATGCACGAGCTACTGTGCTGCAGGAACCCAGCGGTCACAGAAGAGTATGGGATAGGTCCAGAGGAGACGTGGGTACTCTTATACTTGGCAGTCTATGAGAAATCAAAGGACAAAATGTGCTTTTCTCAGTGTCTGGAGGAGATGAAATTGGGAGGAAGCTGGTCCTGCGCATTTGCTAATGGAGAGAACTAGGGCAGATAAGGCAAGTTGTTGAAGGTAACTGCAGTAAAGTGTTTTCTAGGTGAACTTCCAAATACCATTGAAAAGGTCTCCCAGCTAAAAGAAAGAAGGGAAGAGGAGGACCATCATACTATATATGAGTATTCTACTTTAATATGCTGTATTATAGAATATATACAAGATAAAGCAAAACAAACTTAATGTATAAACCAGGCCTCAGAAAGCCAAGTAACCAACATAGCTCCGTTAACATCTCTGGAGTTGCAGCAGTACTGAATTAATCCCAAACTGCCTGCTTGCACTGTGAATCTCTCCAAGAATGCTTGCAGAAGGATGCAATTATGCCACCTGGTGTGTGTCCTTGCTTGAATGCTGTGCCTACACTTCTTTGGAAAAAATATCACAATTGATTTCCCAACATGGAACACAGAGCTCATAGCTCTGGTGTTTTGCATGCAGCTACTCAGAGTATTTTTAGAGATGAATCTTCAACAAAACATCAAAATCTGGAAATAGAAGTTAAATAATTAACCAATACAGGGGGAGATTATCTTCGTTCCTTTTTAAAACATGACTCTAATCCTGGTCCAGAATTTCAGTTTCTACAGAGAGCAAACTATTTTCTTTTCATTAGCTGTAGTCCTGAGTCTTTGTCTAAGGAGCCTCCTTATTCAAGACTCAGTCAAGGCTAGGATAAATGGGGTTAATCTGATCCGGGGAATGCTAATTTTAATTTATTTCCAGAACTTGTAATGGCTTCAACTTGGCAGAAAACTCAGGAATTCTACAACTGGGTCCTCGAAAGTGGAGGAAGGTAGAGACGCTGTCTTAAATAGGAATTTCCATATAAATAGCATGATCATGAAGAGCAAACCTAGAACACACATGATCCTCATATGAGCCCATATTTTTTTCACTAGGCAGATTTTCACTTTTCCTTCTCCTCAATCATGAACTTCCTTTAAATCTTGAAATATATCTCAGGGACGCTCCAGCTGCATCACAGTAGGGAATGAAGGGATGGGGGATTTCCCCTGCCCATAGCTGGGAACTCTCAGCAGCTTTCTGTTCAATGTACAACAGATTCTGGCAGGATGATGAGCAATATGTGCTCAGGATTGCCTGTTAAGTCTGGGATATTAAAGAAAGTGAATTTTTCAAAATGCATATTCATGTGTCATGGGAAAGATCAGTAGACCAAAGAGTTACTACTTTGAGGTTTAAACTCCTTGTGATGCCAGTAAAACCTATTACCAAATTAAATACTGACAGAAACCACCCCTTGGATTTGATATTTTGCAGTTAGGAGGCTTCAGATCTTCAATAGCTAGAGGATCTGCAGGTCCAGTTTGGTCCCACAGGGCTCTGTTGGATCCCCAGATTTAAATGTAAGGAAAAGTCACAAAATGGCCTGAAGGTGGAATGGTAAGCCTGCATAAGTGGCTCTGATAGAAGAAGGACATGGGACATAGTGCTCAGGCTTTAAATGTTTTAGGCTTGAATTTCAGGAGACAGTCTAAATTGGGATTCAGAACTTCTGATGGATTGTATCTGCTTGTATCTGATGGATTGAGGTGGAGTATCAAAGGACTCTTGACACAGCCCATAACAGGAATAGTAAAGGACTGGGAGATTCAAAAGGGATGGGAATTAACAGAGTCATGTGAACAGGGATGGTGTTTTATAAAAATAATCTGAGGCCCATGAGCTCACCAGTGAGCCAAGGACTAAAATTCAATAGGGGACTTCTGCAAGGATCCTGGAGCTAGAATAGTGAGAGAGGTCTAGGCCTTGGGACTGGCAGGTCTGGAAGCAAAGGGAGATGCAGAGGGAGTTCAGCAGAGCACTGATCACACTGGGAGTAGGAGAGGAAAGCATGAATGGGGAACTGGGATGTTTTTGTAGATGTAATGTATCCTGCATTTCTGTGGGTCAGGAATGAGGCAGGATTAGGAGGAGGTTGCATGACAGCCATGCTCAAATCTGTTGAACTTCCCTTTCCTAAAGGACTGCACAGCAGTGTTAGCAGGGAGTAGTATTCTGTAATTTTCTAGTGAAATAGCATGCTTTTAAGAGAGTCCACCCTATAAGTAGATACAAAAATGAAGAGGTGGAGAACTTCAGATATCCTGAGCACTGTGGGGCAGGAAGGAAAGAGCACCAGTCATTGAAACTATTATTTAGCTGTAAAGATTTACACTCCTGAAGACTCAGGAACTGTTTAGTTTGTTCCTGTGCATCCCTGCTGCATGTGTCTCGAACTGCTTTCGTCTGTGTGCGGGATGGTCTTGCAGCCTGTGATGAGGAGTCCAGCTCATGACAGGAAAAGTTTGTTCATTACTGTGCTGCAGAAGGCTAGTGCTCAGCAGATCAGCCATCTAGGGACTACAGCCCCAACTCAAATGTTGTGCTAAAGCCTTTTAGCAGAGTCTGGTACATGGAACTCCAGGGTAGGGGAAGGACTGTGGTACTGCTTCGTGCAGACACATGAGATGCCCGTTTTCTTTTTGCCAGAGAGCATGCTGCAGAGAATATGCTGAAGGGAGGTAATTAAATATATCCACCACACAGTGTATGGGATGTGCCAGCTTTGGCTGCTTGTTTTGCTTTTCAGATCCAAGGACAGAGCCATGGTCTCCACTTCCAGTCACACTTCTCTTTGCCTTCTACCTCTTTGTTGTGGTACTGGGGCCCTTCTACATGTGTAAGTGGAAACCACTGAAGCTGTGAGGCCAACTGATTGCCTGTAATCTTGCCATGATGACGTTATCAAGCTACATGGTTTATGAGGTGAGGAGACAGGATTGGCTTCTAGGTAAGTATCCGGGAAGCGTTTGAAAGCCAGAGCCATTTCAACAGCTTTTGCTGATGGACTCTAATGAAGGGAGCGGCAGCCAACTTGGCCATGTCTACATTTTGCCACAAGAGGAGCAGTATTGACCTATTGAAAGCATTATTTTCCAAGTATACTGCATTTCCTCCCATTTCTCAGTCTTTCTCTCATTCATAAAATTAACATTGAAAGGTTCCTGAATGAACGAGCTGAAGGGTTCCTGAATGAATGAGTTGAAAGTTGCGATCTCCCCGATAGGCACAGAGTGTGGAAGACGTGGAACCTCCTCATTTTGTCTCGGGCTTGGATGGTGAGGGACCTGTCTCTGAGAATGAGAACTGCTTTTCCAGACTGAGGCAGCCCTCTCCAGGAGTGTCAAGCACACCAGCTTGCTGCCGCTGGGGGTACTGATGACACTGTTTTCTGCTTGTCACCAATGCATAAGCCTTTCTACAAGCCTTTCCCTGGTTTATGTAGGCCACTGAAAGCTCTTCAAGGGAATATGTCTGAATAGGTTTGAAAAACATCTTGATGTCGGCAAATTTGCCCTTTTAGTTTGTAACACAATTGTTACATTTAGTGAAAGCAAACTGCAGTTTTTTCAAGCAAATACTACTCAATCTGAGGACGAGTATGAAGATTGCTTGTCTGTGCTTGGTGATACTGGTTACTTGGTCCAGTTTTTGGCTTTCCAATTACTAGGCAAATGCAACCAGACAAAACAAAACGTTATTTGATCTTTGTAAAGGAAAACAGCATATTTTCAGAGAGATTCTGAAGCCTAAAACTCACTATTCCTGCTGGACCATTTTCAAGCACTTCAGTGATTAAATAAAGAGTTACCCAGACTGAATTTTCTTTTTCAGATTCCAACAAGGATGTAAAGTTCTTTGGTTATTTACTATTTGCTCAGCTGTATGAATTACATGGATTTTCTGACAGTGACTAGTAGATTGAGGCCCTATTACCTTAGCATTAATATGCATATCTTTTTGGAACAGATGGCATTGAATAGCAAGGGGATGTCTATTGCTTTTCTTTTGTTTCAGTTTCTGGTAACTTTGGTCTTGGACAACTACAGATACCTGTGCCAGCCAGTGGATTGCAGCCAAAGTGAACTAGGAATGAGGGTACAGTTCTATACAAAGCTTGCCTTAGGCCCTGTTCCTCATGTGAGTATGCAAATTATTCTGCTCCTAAATAACAATTTACATTCCTAAGAAGGTTTTTAATCCACTTTGTTGCTTGTGCATCTATTTCACTATATTGTCTGCTTCAACGGTTTCATTTTGCTTTAGTTCTCTATAAATTAATCATTTCAGTCAACATAGTTCCCTCTTTGACCACTGGAGAGAGAGTGATCCTATGATCTGAAGATAGATGTCTAGTATAGATATTGAAAATTACCTCTGAAATATGTGTGATTCTTTCCATTGGCTATATAAGGATTCTGGGTGATCACTATCAATGAGAAAACCGATTTTTATATCCTCAACTTTGCATGGTATAAATCTTACTCAGCATTTCTTTCAGCGGGGGGATTTGGCTAAAACTATTCCTTTTCTGGCCACCACAGGAAGGTTTGGGTCCCACCAACTTCAGCTTTCCAGAATGATGCATGACTTTTTTCTGTTTGAATTCAGAGCTATTATGCTTTGCTTCCACATATAGCCAGACTTTAACCGGATGCAAGCATGGATACTAGCTTCTCAGTTTTTCAGACATTGCCATCAGGCTAGAAATAGTTTCTGAGCAGGTCACACTTGACTTGTCAAAGAGCAAGCAACTCAGCAAACCATTCATCTGACCAGCCAAAGCAGGCTCGAATGCCTTTCCTCCCCCCAGATCAGCACTCCTTCCCGAGATCCCACCCTGACAAAGCAACAACCATAAGAGACCCCCCAAGTTTTTCCCCTTTGCTGTCGGTCCCAGGTGGGCAGCCTTCACATGGAGCTTAATATAAAATCCCAGGCAGCGAGGCTGAGCGGTCTCTCTGATCTGAGGTCTGGCAGCGTTTCCTTGTGCTGCCCGGCAGATGGCAAGAGTGTGTTGGTGGTTCTTCCTCTCCAAAATCATCGAGCTGCTTGATACAGTAAGGAGAGCTCGGCTCGGCTCCGTGCCGGGACTGGTGCTGTAAATAAATCACTCCCTTGTCAGAATGGGGCAGGGTGCCAAAAGCTTGATGTCCTCGCTTGATCCTGTATTGATTTAGTTGATGCTTTTCAGTAAAAGCTGTTTTCATGTGTTCTGCTCTGCCTGTTTGTGGGAATAAGGCTGCTACTGTCGAAGAAGAGGGCTCAGCTTCAGCGTGCTGGTTTTTAACAGCATGTGGCCTGCAAGAGTCCACCGCTGGCTATCATGCTGCTAAGCTTCCTCAAAAGCTCCCTTCCAGCAGAAAGGAATCGCTGCTGTCCCGTCTGCCTGTCTCTGTCCCAGTGGCTGCACACATCCCCACCCCAGCACCCTTCCTGCCAGTGGGCATTCCCTCCTCACCGCAGTGCTAGGGGTGAAGATTTAACCTTGGCCACTGCCCCCAGCGTCTTAGCTACCAGCTGATTGAGGCAGCCAGACAGGATCTGCTATTGCCTGTCTGGCTGAATAGTAGTGGTTAGTTGGGCGATAAAGAAACTGAAATTGTACACGTCCTGGTATTTTTGCTGCCACAGATCATCCCAAAGTTGTGGGTTAAAGGTGTGTGTCCCATGTGAAATTTAAAGTTCACCTGAGGACAGTACCATTTTATAGCTTGTCTTTAGGTCTCCTTCTATATTATAAATGAACTAACAACGAAATCCCCCCTGTCTGCTTGGTCGACAGGGGTAAACCGTATTCTAGCCTAAGACTTCACAATCTAGTGCTCTTTAGAGTGTAAATTGACAACACACTGTCTGAAAAGTGAATCAGCATGTGGAGCCCTCCTAAGCCTATTGCCACTGGGCTGACCTCTCTCTCTTCTCATCAGCAACAAAACCAGCTTTTTGCTGGTCCTGAGTCCTTGAAAAGCAGATTCTCATTTTGCTATGTGTGTATGCATGTGCACACTGAAATACAGTGACCCGACACATACTCATCTGCCAACCCCATCCTTTTTACTAATGCAAATTCCAGAATGGTTTGGGCATTCAAAACAGCACTTTTTCTGTGGATTGTTGTCTGATACCAGTAAACATCTCACCTATGTCCTGAAAATGACCAGACCCAAGCAGCTGAAAATTGTATGGAAGCTCAGTCAGAGTCTCAGATGTGTCCTCTTTGAACCTTGGGACCTGAATCCAAAGGTAAAAATAGTTTGGGCTCTGTGGAAGAAATTTTGCCTTCCAGTTCCTCCCCATTCTAGATAATGCAAGATCTATCGCATGTGTTGAATTTCACCAGTTTTTATTAACAGCAGAGGAAATGAGTTTGGGAGATTCAGATCCATCATTAACTATTTTCATCACTTTTTAGTGTAAACTCTTTTGTCTAAACACATCAACTCAAGATTTTCCTGTGTCTGTCTTCTTTCAGGCTTTCTTTATTCTGTGCAAGTACCAAGAACGGGCGACTTTTCTGCATGTGTACCATCGTGGCACTATGCTGTTCACCTGTCAGTCGGGTCAAATATGTGTCTGGAAGACAAGGGATGCTTCTGTAGACACCTTGTGTTTCAGTTTTTCTTGTGCCGTGGAGACAGCATAAACAGTGCAGATGGGCTGACTGGCAGGTAGGAAGCTTACCTACTTCCAAAGGTGTGAAAAAGATTTACATTTCAGTTGATACCATCTGCTCAGTTCTTTGGGCTATTTAGAATGCTCTATTCACTGCTTCATCCGGAAGGAGCATGTGCCAACAGAATGTGTCCAAACAGAAACAGTAGCATCCTGTACAAGGTCTGTGTGTACCTCCATCCAGACCAGTGCTCCTTCGCTCCCCATTACCTGGGCCTGGTGCAGCTGCCCAGGTTCTGGCTCTCCATGTCCTGCTCAGACTGTGTCCAGCCTAGTCCTCGTGCCCTTTCTGGTTTGTACCCAGGCTGCTTCTCCTTTTTGCTCCACTGAAAGAGAAGCTCCTGAGCACTGGGCCACTAAAGGTAGGCCCTATACAAGATGCTGGGGTATTCTTTTGGAGGAAGCCATTTTGTCTACATGGCCTTGACACCAAAATGGTATGAAACACTTAGGTCAGAAGATCAAGAATTCTTTCCTCTGCCTTTGAAGCTCTTCTCTGTTTCCGATCACTAGATATGGGATGGAGAAGGATATGAAAGGAGAAGGGAGAATACGACATGCTTCCTCAACGGAGTCTGGATTGACGGTTCATGCATAGGAGTGATGTGATATGCGTTTTGGAAGCACCGTCATGGTGACTGTCAGCTCATCACAGGGTTAGTCTTGCATGGTTTGTGTGTCTTGTTCATCCTGACTTCTTTACTCCTCAGCCTTCTTTATTGGGATGCTAAATGCCTTTGTCCACATCTTCATGTACAGCTATTATGCCCTGGCCAGCCTGGGACCAGAGATGCACCGTTACCTACGGTGGAAGTGCCACCTAACCGTCACGCAGCCGGTAATTAGTGTCATGTGTTCCTCCCTGCACTTCCGTGTGCCAGCCGTGATGGCTTCTGCTGTCTGTCTCTGTCCCCTCACTGGCTCAAGTCTTCCTGATTGCTGCCTGTGGAAATCACCACGTCCTTAGGTGTCCTCATGTACCACGAGGAGAGATGAACTGATTGGTGACCTGCTCTGAACGGTACTCTCAGAAAGCTAGCAAGAAGCCTTCAGTGACCATATCAACTAATAAGCCCCCACCTTTGTAATGGTGAGGGAAGAGAAAAATTAGCAATTCGATTTCTCCCTTTTCTGTTGTATATGGCAGCCTTTCCCCCTCTAGAGCCCTAAAAATACAGCTTGATTTTGAGGGGCGTGGGGCAGTAACTTGGGGAAACTTTGGATTCTCAGTAGGGCAGGAGATTGGGCATCTTGCAATCTGTTTCTTCAAAAAGGAAGAGTAACTGCAGGCAAACAGAAGGAAGTTAAAGAAAAATATGTGAGTTTTACTCTTTCTGTAGAGAATCCCTTTGGATTTTCTTTCCCTCATCTCTGAAGAGGTGAAAAAACCTGACAACCCTGTGGTTTTTGAAAGATACAGCATAAAAGCAATGTTCGACAATGATTATGGTTAAGCATGTGCAAGAGTTAGTTCCACAGAAAGAGACGTTATGCAAACAAAAAGTATGCAGTCACCAGAGAAGAGGCAGAAGAGCTAGGGTAAATATAAAATAGTGTTGCACTGAAGGCTGGTCCAGAATTCTTATTTATTCTGAATCGTGAAAACAGAACAAGAAAGCATTGCCTGCAATTAAAAGGTATTTGTAATGCAAAATATAGCACAGGAAATCAGTCTTTATTTAACGTACTTTTGGTAGGTTCGGGGTATTGAGACAGGTGACTTAGTAAAATATAAAAAAAAAAAAAAGGGATTAATGTTTATATGAATAAAAGTAGCACCTGTAGTTCCTATCTGTAAGCTAAATTACAAATCCAAATCACTATGGGTATAATAATCTGATTACCACTGAGGAAGAGGAGTCTCCCACCTTTAGTTTCCATATTCCAAGATCTCAGCTATTGGCCTGTGGCAGAGAAGTGACACAAGGGCAGTGGTCTGCTCCCAGGTAGGAGAGGCTGGATTCCAAACCTGTTCTCCGCAGCAGTGGCCAAGCCTCGATGTTTGGTGCACACCCGACACCCCTTCATGTTGGGAAAACATTGTTGGCCTTGAAAATCAGGTTTCTCGGGGATGTCAGGAGAGGTAAGCAGGTGATGCTGTGGGTTGAGGACACTACTAGTATGTTGTGATACTCTTTATTACGGCCCTAATGGTCAGTCGAGGTGTGTCTCATGCAGGTTCCCTAATCTGGCTGCTTCTTTTTTCCCCCTCTTCCAGTGCCGGTTTGTAGCCATTGCTGCTACAACCTCTTCACAGAATGCCTGCTCCCTGATGGCTTCAGCACTGCAGTCTCCCTCCACTTTCTCAGCCTCGTTGCTCTCTTCCTACACTTCTGCTATCGGACCTACATTAGGGGAAAGCAGGGGAAGCTAATTGAAGGAAAATCAAGGAGGACTGTGAGCAGAGTCTGATGAACTTGCACACCTTCTGCTGCTTCTAGCTTGATTGCATGGAGAAAATGTGTTTGGGGAGTGTGCAATGTGTGAGGCTTGTGTGCGGACTTACGGTTTCCTTCAAACATCTCAAGTTAGGAATGAAAAAGGTATGGCAAACTCAGGGATTAAGGTACTGAGGAGCACAATTAAGCTGATGCAAAGCCAAGCCAAGTAGTCATCAGCGTAGCAGCCTTTGTGAAATTAGCACCAGAAGATCTCCTTCCCTTCCATCTGTTAGCTCCGTTTGCAAGGTCTAGTGTCCAACCGTGGGTCCTTGGCTCATTTCTTAGGCTACAGAGGGTTTCTTTGCATTCGTAAGACTATCTCCGCTTACTGATCTAGATCAGGCAGTGTCAGGTGCCTCCAGCCTTGAAAGCAGTGCCCAGGGAACAGCAGCGGCCAGGAACTGGCTGGGACTGCAGGAGGGACTCACCTGTACATCCCAGCCCTTCCTATAAGGGAAGATCCCACTAGGACTGGCGTGAATTACAGCTATGTGGCCCTGATGGCTTAATTTTATATTAGTATAAGCATGAAAAAAATTGGGACATTATGTTGTCCAGCTGGACAGGTGCCTTTGTTCCTTCACTGTTCTGAAGATAAAGAAGGCATTATTAGCACTTTCATCCTAAGTGAGAAACGAATGCAGTAAGAATCATCATGTACCATTTTCTGGAATGCTTATTTGCATTTGGTTGCTTTCATAACAATAAGAGAATTTTTAATGCATGAAGAGTAACTGGCATTCCCCCTCACAGATGACATATTTTTTAATATAAATAATGGGTTCCCTATTCAATTTGTTATTATTTTAATTTTTTAAAAAATTTTTGAATTATTATTTTCAAATTTTACTTCTCATCAAAGATAAAAAATTGTACACCACCATAAGCAAATACCTCCACTACCTAATTGTACACATATTAATACAAAATGTATAAAGTCAATTCGTTGGCTTGTGCAAAACTGCATAGCTCCATTGACTAGCACATCACTTACTGGCTTCTTTTTTGCTCCTACATTGATTACAGCTAGACTTTGGCACTTACATTCATCTGCAGACAGCTAAATGCTGTTAAAGTTTTGATCTGATAGTGCTTTGCAAATCTTAAATTCAGACTTTAAACTACAAAATGGTATTCATTTATTGCATTCTGCTTTGTTGATTAAAACAAGTTTTATGGAGTAGTGATTTTTTTCACAGTTGAAACAGACAGCACTTGAAGGAGAGGATTAGAATTAGTAACATGGTGCGTTTTCACTGCCAAGCCACATTCACCTCAAATGTAAAAAAGTCTAAATCCTCTGGGAATGTCCAGCTGATTGGATGCTAGCCTGGACCTAGGAAACGGATGTACACAGAAAAAATGGTGTGCTCTCAAGCTGGAGTTTAGTGGCTATGCAAAGTAAATGCAACTTGGGCATCACTGGTGCGTGTTCATATGCCAGGCCTTTCCTTTAGCTACTACATGCACAAACATAAAACAGTAGGCTATCCCTTGCCCTCCTCCACACACATACGCAAAGAATTTGCTTCTGTTACCACAATGATACATCATAAATGTCATTCCATTGATCTGAGCAGTCTTTCGTCTGATTTTCACTGGTGAATATGAAGAGCAAAGCAGGGCTTATTTTACATCTATGTCTTAGCTGTTTTTCTTCCTGTCAACTATTTTTCCACGCTACTTACTGTATAAATTGTACTGCTTTTGCTAACTAGAGTGCTACTTTTGTTAAGGCATTAAATAATAAACCTCTGGGTGGGTCCTCCATTATTCCCTTTGTTTGGTAAGGCAGGAAAAAAAAATCTGCTGTGTATCTAACACACTGTATTCATGTTGAGGGTTTCCCTAGAGGCCTCTCCAGTATTGAAGACTTAGTACAAGTAAAGCTGTTTCATTATTCCTATCCACTTAATGATTCACTTACGGCCCTATCCTGCTTAAACCACCAGTACATTTGGCCCCCCAGTTTCATGGTAAGAGCATGCTTCCCTGCAGCTGGCTAAATTATCTGGGCTTACAGAGAGATCTAATGAACTCTGCTCTTTTTCCTTTACGTGAGGGGATCATGGATAGGTTTGAACCTCAGTTTCCCCTCACATGAGCTTTTTCAGATTGTAGTTACTAATTTCAAGGGCTTCACTACTAATTCTATACCCGAGTAAGCATCAGATTTTGATTTTCCTTGAATCACTCATAATTCATGTCTGCTTAAAAATTAGAAATGAGCAGGAAATTTGGAGGAGATTACTCAATGTTTTTGCAAATCCACTCCTTTTTAAAATATATAAATTTGTAAACATGTCATTTAGCTTTTTTTAAGCAGCCTATGCAGCTTAATTGGTGTCTGTGTATGACAGAGCTTACTGCAATGGATTCTGGACTGTGACTGGCCACATAGCTGGTAACAAAATACTAAAACATGAATTTGCTACCTGACAACTTGAAGTGACTGATCACCTAAATCACACGCCGCTGCACCACTGTAACGATTTGTCCTAGACATGCAAACTTTGATCTATTTATTCCTGTCCCTCTTCCTCACAGCCTGAGTGAGCGGCCTGATCTTGCACTTTTGAATTGGTAAGAGCTTTTTGTCAGCGTGACTTCAATGGCCATAGGCTGAAAATGAAGTATTTTTAGATGGGTGATAAGGATGGATTAAGTTTGCCTAGAAACACCACGCTTTTCATACAGAAATAGATACTGGTATGGACTACAGCCATTACAAAAGCACAGATGCAAACAAAATTCACTTGTGAGAGTATTTGCACTAGCAGTGAAGATAAAATTGCATAGGTACAGCTGAGTGGCTTTGCAGGTCTTGATTCTTTGCTCCTTCAGATTGCACTCACTTGTCTTCATTCTTCTGTATTTTATTGGGTTATCGCAGTTGGTACTGTCCACTTGGGGCATCCTGTTGTGACAAGAGCGAAAACCTGAGAGTAGAGGTACGTGCTCTTGGAATTTAAAAGAGAATAAAGGCACAGAGTGAGATTTCCCCTTTAAGATCACGTCCCTAGAGTTAAAGATTACATCACAGTGATGAACTGTAAGTCAAAAGGGGTGGAAATTGTAAATTGCAAGTTTGGATGATTCATGCGCTCTAGCAGAGTCCAAAGCTTTGAGGGTAAATTGAAAATATCCCATCACAGCTGGATTTATAAAAACCTCTGGGCCAAATGCTGATTCCACCAACATCAATGACAAAGCCTGCAGATTTCACTGGAAACAAGATGGGCACAGCTGTGGGAAGAACAATGCGCTCAGCTACACGGCTTGAGCAGACTGGAGAGTTACTCAAGCTTAATAGATGACTTTTAAGGACACAGTTGTGTGCAAGTCTCCCCTTTATAAAGTGTGGATCATTATATGTTCTTAGAGTAGTTTGCGTTCACAAGATGTAAAGCATAACATAAAGCATAATGTAAGTAGTCTGTTTCAGTGAATAAGCTTGCTATCTGGTAGTGCTCAGCATCTTTCCTACTGTTCAAGTCAATGTAAATTATGGATGTTCTGATCAAATTACTTTTGAATTAACCAGACCATTTACTCAATGCTTACTTTCTCTCTGAAGATAAATGAGAGGGATTCTCATTTTAATCAAAACAAAATACAGAAAAGAAAATCAATTACTATTTAATGTTTTTTCCATCGCTGCATGACGGAAAGTTTCCAGAGGAACTTGGGCTTAAAATTGCAAAACAATATAAAATGCAGGAACGTGTTTGGGTTTTAACTAGTGGATTTTTTTATATATATACTGTCAGAAAATAGGGCAGTGTGTGGTTTTCAAAAAAAGGCAGAATAACTCGAAACAATTAATTAAGCAGAAACTGAATACAGTAGGTTGCTTTGTACAATAAATAAAAATCTGTTGATGTAGATGTAACACACCTCCAAGCCAAACATTAAAAAAGATCAGCCGACCCTATATATAGAGCAGTGTGAATTTGCTGAATTCATTAACGAATAACTTCATGGATTAGGCCCTGGTAGATGGAGCGCTCACATCCAGATGTTTACTGTGATTTGTCAATGGCCTTGTACTTAATCCTCTTGAACAGGAAATACGAGTCTTTTTTCTGGGGTCTCCCTTGAGGACTGTGCCTGTCTCTCTCTCTGGCCTGAATCTTCTCAACACAGAATCAGGCTTTGGAGGAATTAACTGAGTGGAGGAGGCACGGATTTGCTTTTAACCTCTTCAGTTTCTCCTCAGCTTCAAATGACCTCCTCACCATCTGTCATGATGGGAATGTTATTTAGTTATGGTGAAGAAAAAAAGGATTCACCCGTGCTGTCCCATGAGACATATTTGTGGGGTCCCTGTCACCTCAAAATGTGTCAAAGCAGACGCGTCTAGTCCCATTTCCACTGAGGGCTGTGGGCAGATCAAGCCTCTAGGTGCTGGTGCATGTCTCTTCACATCTCAGCATTGTATTTTTATTTGGCGAAGCTGCAGCTTCACAGCCACTGTTAGAGATAGGCAAGGACAAAGAGGGAGTGTTTGGGAAAAGACAGGGTGTCCTTAATCAGGTGTACCAGAGGATGTGTAGTGTGTGTGTACCTGTCTGTGTATGTACAGGTAGATGAATGCAGACTCTGCAGACTACGCCCATTGCTCATTTTTCACCACGTGAGATCCCCACGTGGGATGGGTCACTCATTTCGCTCTGTGGGAGTGTCCCACTCAACAGCAGCTCCCCGCAGTCACACCGCTGCCACTCCTGCTATGTAATGGTGTCTGTTGGGTGCTGCCCATCAGCCCACGACAGCTTAAATCAGCCAGTTCATCTGTCCCGGTACCCAAGAGCAGGGGGAGGCTAATGCAAAGCTGAAAATGCAGCAGAAGATGGGGGGCAGTTACAGGAGTCTCATATGTGGTGCGCATGATCACACAGGTCTGAGCACGAGCATGTATTATTCATGTGCCCAGCACGATGGCTGTACAGGGCATAAGGCTATAATCCT